CAAGGAAATTCAAAGGCAAAGTTGACACTGACTGTTTTCTGGGGACGTTTATAGCCAGAAAAGGAAAATGCATATAAATATGCATTAGCAACAAAGCTATCAACAAAACGAATGCAAGGAGAGCAGGTAGAATTGCCCAAAGTAAAGGTGTTGACCATTACAGCCCAGTCCATCAATGTTGAGTATTCCCTGGAGATGAGTTTGAGCCTAATTTTTAAAAGAGTGATAGAAAAAAAAGAAAACACTTTCCAAATCTGAAGGGTGGCACATGCAAGATTACAGAAGCAAAAAGACTCATTCTCTGCAAGCACTGTAAAACTAAAAAACAAACAGGAGAGAGTTCTTGGGAACAAATATGAAGTGACAGGAGTGAAACAGGGGAACAGTATGCTGGAGAGCCTTGGAGGCACACTGAAGAAACACAGATTTGATGTGATAGGTAATAGAGAGCCTCTCTTAGTTTTAGTGGGGGGTAGGTTTAGGAAAACACTGGTGTTTGCTTATAGCAAATCTTAGAATTTGATGCATTTTCTGAAAAAATGAAAGCAGAGTATTATGTATTGTGTAATTATAGATAGGCAATTTATAGCAAGAGTTAGTTTCTAATCTAATCCAATTAGAATGCTAAAATTAACCAAAGACAGAAACCACAGTCTGCATTAGCTCCCTGTGGAATAAATTTCCTTATTAATGCTGTGTTGTTAAACATAGTTTGTACATAAGCCTATCTCTGAGCTAACATAAAAATCTAGTATTGATTGCTAGAAGAGCAGCTCAATGTTCCATACACATTATTCATCTGAAATTGCTATAGACATATATGAAGACCAGAACCATTAAGCCCTCTTCCTGCCTCAAAATGGATTTAGGTAATTATGGTATGTCTGAAATCTACACAAGGAGGATTGAGGGGACAGGAGATAGGAATACAAAATAAAATACTGTATGTGTGTATTCCTAAGCCATCATTATTACACAAGCATCATACATTTCCCACACTTTTTTCACATTGCTCATGAAGAATTTATACTTTATGCGACACTGAATCCTACAAAAAGATAACCATTATAGAGAAGCATTTCTCTTTTCAATTACTGTTTCTTAAATCTCAAATAATATCAAGGGTTATCCCTCTTTGATAAAATGACTGACATCAGCAGCGGAGGGATTTAAGGTTCCTAGAACCTTTCACCTTTGCTAACTGAATTATCTCCCATATACTAAGCTCTTAATCTACCTTTTATCTCTTAAGGGCTTGTGATGGTCCCAAATTGTTACTAACATTCCATTTTATTTCCAGGGATTTCCTCAGTGTTTCTTTTAGGTCAGAGAATAGGTTCCCCCCTGTGATAGGTGACAAATTAACACTCTGGCTTGAGTTACTCTTTACTTGAAATACAACATGAACAACAACGACGAATTAAGGGAACGATTTTTTTTTTCTCAACAAAAATACAAGAATAGGAAAGATGCACTTTGGTTTTCTGGAGATTACAGGAAAAGGGATGTCCTGGCCTGATTTATTCAAATTACCACAGATTTTCACCTCACCTGGCAATATACATATTTTCAGTAGAGCATCAAAGAGCTCTATTTTTGCATCCTAAAGCCGTTGATCTTACAAAATTGTCTTGTGAAAATAACTTCCCTCCTGACTCTTTAACACCATGTGTTTCATAAATCAATTGGCCTAATCACCTCTTTCCTTCTACATTAGCCACTACTTTCAATTTTAGTAATGATAGTAACATCAGGACTAAATTTTAAAGTTTCTGTATTTCATTCACAATATTTCTCTAATTTATTTGGCTTTGGCACTTCTTGTTGTTTTTCAGTTGAACTAATTCAGACCGAAAAAAAAAACATATCGTTGAAGATGGAAGCAGTTTCCTATAGAAGGCAGCCACTTTCCTTGGGAATGATTCATTTAGAACAGTGGCAGCTTCCAGACTTCACACATTACTTCCCCAAATTTGCTGAATTTAGCATTAGCCAGCTTGGTACTAAAACACTCAGAACTCAAAGACATGTGGGTGAACTCACATCTTCCTCTGCAGTCTTATTCCAAATGCTCACTGAGCAAATTCTTCTGATTTATTTGTTGTATTTTCTACACGTAAACACATCCTGGTGGGCATTTGTAAAAATCAGGTAGAGAACTGGCAGTTTGGAACCATTCAAGTTCCTCTGTGCTTACGGTGTGAATCATGTAGGTGATGAAATAATGAATTTGTATTAAATTCTGGATTAATTAATATTGTTTCTTCCCTATTTCACAGTATTACTAGCAGACATTAAATACCATGCTATATGTGATTTTATGTGGGGGTATCATATAATCAAGAAAACATTCTTCATGGGCGCCTGGGTGGCTCAGTCGTTAAGCGTCTGCCTTCGGCTCAGCTCATGAACCCAGAGTTCTGGGATCGAGCCCCACATTGGGCTCCTTGCTCCACGGGAAGGCTGTTTCTCCCTCTCCCACTCCCCCCTGCTCATGTTCCTGCTCTCGCTATCTCTTTCTCTGTCAAATAAATAAATAAAATTAAAAAAAAAAAAGAAAAGAAAACATTCTTCACTTAAATGAGCTTATGGTTCATTTATCATCAAGGTCATTTGTTTATAAGCAAGATCTTGCCAACTCCTGACTCTAGCTTCAATGGGTTTGGTTACCAAACTTCTGTGAGTGCATATTAAATTGCACTTTACAGTAATGATGGCAGTGAGCTAATGATCCTGAATTATATCATGGCGTTTTTAAAACACCACCACATTACACGGATCCAGGTGACTGCAACCACTGCCAGGAACCAGAGGACAACAGTGTAAGGGGTATCCTCTTCTATGACTGCATGGCCTGCCATTTTATCTGATAGGTTGCCATCTGTTCATCCTGCTGCCGTTCTCTAGGGTAATTGGGTTAAAACCACAAGACATTGAAAATAGTCACATTGCCCACTATATTTTTAATTGCCTGGCCATTTATATCAGTAACTTTTCTTCTTACAGGCTACTCATTAAAAAAAAAAAATTGTGACCATGTTTTAGGGGGTAAATGCTCAACTCTTATGTTGCATAGATACAATCTTTGTTAAGATAAGCTTCCTACAATTTCTTATGCAATCTATAAAATGGTGAATACTAAAGTATTTATCACTGAAAGAGTGTATGTTATAGTGAGAAGCTATATAGTTCTGTGGTTAGGAGCATTTGCTCTGAAGTCAGATCACCAAGGTTAGAATCCCAGCTCCAACTTTTAATAACTCTATAAATCTGGACAAGCTACCAGAATTATTAGGAAAATGAACAAATCCATGTAAGGAAAAAAATATATTATTTGACATATAATAAGCCCTCAATAAATATTAAGTAAAATTATCAATAATCATCTTGGTTTGATATTAATCTCAAACTGGTATAATCAAGTTTAAGAACCAAACATTTATTACATTTTAGATGGAATGTGTTATGTAGAGATATAATACAAGATGAATCAAATTTCTCAAAAATGCTTCATTTGATTTTGCATATAATCCATATCCATATTTTAAGAATGATCCATTTTTATGCCTTTCAGCAGTATCTTATGCAGTGTTTTATTATTGCACGTCATTTCCTGAAATCCTGGGAACCAAAATGTCATTGACAAGCACACACAAAACACTGCTACAGTCTCACAGAAAGCAGAACTAATGTTCACAGAAGTTCCATTTTAGGACTTGTTTAAACCTAAATTCCAAAACATAATTCTTCCTAAAAATGTTAAAAAGCATTTCCGTAGGGAGTAAAGCAATAATTAATCTATTGCCAGTATACTGTTTTCATTAGCCCAGGTTTAGGCACTCTAAGCCTTTTTGATCCTCATTTTTATGCAAACAACAAAATTCAGGTTATAATTAATTTTTAAAAGTAGACTTAGAAGGAAAATAAAGTCAAAAAGGTTACAAAGCAGACTCTGGAATTAGGAACATAAACTCCTTTGCTCAGTGATGATACATTTAACTCAGATCTTTCGAAACTCCAGTTAGGTGAGCCCTTTTAGGTCCCACCAACTGCATAAGAACAACAGATGCCCTCTTCAGCAAAATATTGGCCAGATTCATTATATTTATTCACTGTACTATTTGTGTTTTCTATGTAATAACTTCCCTCCTGGGTATGCTGTTTTTCAGTATTTTGAAATGAATTAATAGGGAGAAATTATAAGAAATAATTATAGGCAAAGCATAACACTGAGCAAAATTATTATGCTAAAATCAGTCTTTACATATACAATTGGAAATACTTCTTAAATGTCTGTTTTCTTCAAATGTAAATTCTCTGAAACTTCAATACTAGAGGAAACAGACCAGATTATCTCATAGAACTAATGATACAAACTAGAGTAGCAATCAGAGCCTACACATCTTTGTCAAAGATGGTACTTGATGTATTCATATTAAATAAAAAGAAACTTCCCATGGTAGAAGAGGGATTGCATTGGTTAGGATAAACATTTGTTGATTAAAGAGGATTTGTTTGGTATTTTTGTTTTGTTTTTTTTTAATTTTTTTTTGTTTTTAAGATTTTATTTATTTGCGAGAGAGACAATGAGAGACAGAGAGCATGAGAGGGAGGAGGGTCAGAGGGAGAAGCAGACTCCCTGCTGAGCAGGGAGCCTGATGTGGGACTCGATCCAGGGACTCCAGGATCATGACCTGAGCCGAAGGCAGTCGTTTAACCAACTGAGCCACCCAGGCACCCGAGGATTTGTTTTTAAAAAGAGACTTAATTGGCATAAAAAATTGTTTTACAATCACTATTTTTTCAGTTGATTCAAATTCAGTATTTGACCATATCTTTGAAGGTACAAATATATCACTTACGCACCATAAGGAATAAATAGAATTTTTCTTCTTGAATTTTATAAAACTCATTATACACAGCACAGGTGTTCATCTTAAAATTTATAGTTAACAATCTCATGCTATAGTGGCTTTAAAGTAGTAAAAGATATATCTTACCTCTTCCCATTGATGTATGTATCTAATTAACCTTGAAAGTCGTAATAAACGCAAGAGACTGAGAATTTTTGTAAACCTCACAATGCGAAGTGCCCTGGCTGTCTTGTAAACTTCTGAATCCATTCCTTTTTCTACAATGAGAAAGATATAATCCACTGGGATTGATGAGATGAAGTCAACCACAAACCAGCTTTTTAAATAATTCATCTTGATCACTTTAGGGTCCAGGATGATTTCAGAACTGTCTTCATTGACAGTGCCAGTCCTAAAATTCATTATCAGGTCCAAAAGGAAAACTGTATCTGACGCCACATTGAAAATAATCCATGGTGTTGTTGTTTGCTCTGTAAAGAATGTGATTCCAACTGGTATGATGACCAGGTTTCCAACCATCATTATAAGCATTATTAAATCCCAATAAAACCTACAACAAATAAAAAAATCAGATTTTAAGATACAGACAATAACCATTCTTCCCCCATCATAACAAAAATTACTGATTTATGGTTAAATAAATGAGTAAAAGAATAAAGTGTTTGTTTTGTAAATAAGGAACTCCTTCAATGGTTATAAATTTAAATCTAAGTAAAATTAATATATTTCTAAAGCAAAGCATTGTGTTTATAGAATTCTAAATATTATTTGATATAAAGTGTTACCGAAATAAATTCAAGAACACTCATTCCCCCATTTATCTGGTAAAAAAGCAAAGACAACCTCCTCTATGTTAACATGTAATATAGATGGAAATAAAGGAGAAGAAGCATCAGACCAGAAGATCTACCTTAAAAAAACATTTTTGTGAAGATTCTTTAGAGATGCTTTGAAGTACCTTATATGTCAAATTATGATCAATGATTCAATCAATGATTAAAATAAATACTAAAATACTAAAAATACTGGTACACTAAAAATATTGGTACTATAAATTATCTCTAGGAGTACGGATTAGGTCAACCATAAATTGCAGGCTAACCCGTGGCTTCATTGCATTCCAAATATTTATGCTTTCTTCTTTTTTAGTTTGAAATGAGAAACTAATTTTGTTCTAAGGCTAAAAATAATTGAACAGACCATTCTAGATTTTAAACTAGAATCTATCCAAAATTCCCACTTTTATCACTGTTTCACTGAACAACTACTTTAAATATATTCCCACTATTTTCACAAATAATTCTTTCTTAAAATTTCTGATTTAATTTTCAATACATCTATGGTTACTAGCTACCTTTTGAAACATTTTTACCTTATATTAAAATTGGGAGAAAAACCAATAAAATATAGTACAGGATAATATAGTTAATAGTTATTTTCATGCAGTTTATTTAAAGTCTATTGACACTATAGTGAACAGACTAGGTAATAGATTACTTATATTTGTTACAGTATATACTTATAAAAATGAAGAAGCAGATCAACTAGTACAACCTTATAATCATGAAATAGTCTCCAGAAACATGAGTTACTTCCTCCTACTCATAGAGATCCTCTTCTGGCAGTTTTGTTGTATAAATGATGTAAATTTCTTTTTAAAAAAAAAAGATTTTACTTATTTGAGAGAGAGAGCGCGCGCACAAGCGGGGTAAGGGGCAGAGGGAGAGGAAGAAGCAGACTCCAATGATAGCCCGACGTGGGCTCAGGACCCTGAGATCATGACCTGAGCCAAAGTCAGACTTAATGGACTGAGGCATCCAGGTGCCCCAATGATGTAAATTTCTATGACAGAAATTTCTGTCAACCAAGATCTCTTTATTTTACATTACTTCTCCTATTTAGACTACTTGGGCTACATTTGGTAAGGTATATAATTGCATAAACCTTTCAAAGTTACTATCATATCTGGTTATGAATGACTTGGGATAAAACTAGTTGCGTAAGAAAGAACTATAATAGGCCTTCTCTGCCCTTGTCTCCACCCCCCAGGATTATGTAAAAAGTAAATGTTTCTCATTTTGAAGATTTCACCAGTCTTTGTGTCACAACGTACCTACACAGTTACGGACAAGCATACAAATACCCATATCAGTCATACATCCTGCACTGTCAATTTCAATGACATATTTTCTCTTTTACTGCCCTCCTCTTTTAATGGAAGTGCAAAATGTGCCATTTGATACACCAAGGACAGAGGAGAGATGTAGAGGAGATGCAATATTGTAATAGCTATTTCACAAAAAGTGACATCACTGAACTCTAAAATGAAACCCTGTGTGCCCTGAGGATTTTCACTTTTCTGGCCACTCTTATCAGTCTCTTCTGTGAGCTCATCCCTCTGCCCTCCCCTTGAAGGCTGCCATTCCCCTGGGTGTCACGCATAGTCCTTTTCTCTTCTATTCTACACATGCTCTTTGAGCAATTATCATACACTCATCCACATCTTTATGATTAATTCATAACTGATGACTCCCAAAAGCTCCACCTCTGGTCCATTCCTGTCTTCCAAGCCTCCAAACCTCCCACTCAACAGCCTATTGAATCTATCCCCATGCAAATCTCACACTCACGTCACAGCAGGCATATGCTCAAACTCATCATCTCCCCTCTCGTGTAGATTTCTCACATGTTCCCTAGGCCAGGGAATGGAACAACTCTATACTTTATTTGCAAGCCAGAAGCCCTGGAGCAATCCTAGAAAACTCCTGGCCTCAAATCTACTCACTCTCACATTCGGATGTTTGGTTCTAACACCTGCGTATAAGTTGTATTCATCCATTTGCCCTTTACAATTCCGACTGCAACTATCTTCAACTAGAAATTCTTCCCAGCTGTTTAATTTGGAGACAAGTTATTTAAATTTTCTAATCCTAAAATTTTCTCATCTGTAAAATGAAGATTATTATAGAACCAAATATGTAGAGTTTTACAGATTAAATGAAATAATATATGCAAATCATATATCCTAGCATATAACAAATCATGGCACACAATGCTGGTGGCCTACTTAGTATTCCTTACCTTAGTATTTCCTTACCAAAAGAAAAACAACTTTGCGGAGAGCAGCCAGAAGCCCATTGAAAAAGTACTCACTTTACAGACATCCTTATATTTCTCTCATTAAGACAGAAGATATTTTTAAAGAAAAATAAAACATATTCTATCATAGCCTCTGACTCAATAGAAATGAAGAGGATAAAGTGCCATCTATTCATTGTTGGAGCAATAATTTTTATCACACCATAGCTTTTTATCAGTGGTACTTAATATGGTCTGAAGCCATCAGAAATCTCATTATCAATATAAAGCTCCATTAAATCTTATAATTTCCTTTTAAAGTATCACTGACTCTATTTTACAGACATAAACACAGATCTTGTTATAGACTTTGCATAATATAACACTTTCTTCAGTTAACATGGATTCATTCCTTATCTAGCCAAGGAAAATACAGTTATCACCCACTCTAAAAGTATGATATAACTTCTGTTTTTTAAGCAAAGAATATTTTCCTGAAAATTGACTGCATGAGACTCTCTTGCCTACCTGCCCCCAAGTTTCTTTTCTTGACTCTTTGCTCTGAAAATGTCTCTTGAATACTCAGGTTCACCCTTTTTCTTAATTTTTAATTTCTAAGTCTTATACATGTTATTATGGAATAGTCTTTCCTATTCATTCCTCTTTCTATTCCCACTGTTATCTAGTTTGGGCAGAACTAGTTCTTCCTTAGAATAGCTCAAGTCTTCTGTCTATGGAATCTGACCAGTTTTAACCATCAGTCCCAGAGTGTTATGTTATCTAACACATAACTTGCCAGGTCAAAAACCATGAATGACTCTCTTAAGTAAAAATAACTCAGCCTGATTTTCAAGGCACTCTATAATACAGCCTCCTTCTCCTTTCCCAGCCTCCTCTTTAACACTGTATGTGGCAAGAACATCATAATTTAAGCAAGAAAGTACTTACTCTTACCTTGCCATCATGCTCACCTAGGTAAACGTATAGGAGATACAGTTTCTTCCAGTCTATTGACTCATTTTCCTATTTGCACTCTACCTACCCTTCAAGTCTTGTTCTGATACTGAGTTTCTTAGTTGTTTTTTTTTTTTAGCAACCCCCAGAGCAATATGTATTTTCAGCATGCTTATTTTATTTTTCCTTTTGTTACTAATTATTTATTTTTGTTTCTTCCATCATTCCTGGATTTAAGTTCCTTTTAAAATTTTATTAGGTTTTTAATTTCAATTCCAGAATAGTTAACATAAAATGTTGTATTAGTTTCAGGTGTACAATATAGTGATTCAACAATTCTATATAGTACTCATGGATATAAGTTCTTTGAAGTTCAAAACTGTATTTTTATCTTCTGTTTAACTTCTACAGTAATGTAGACAATATCTAGGACAACAAAAGTTAAGAAGATACATTAATTGAATTTTTAATGGAAACATACACTTCAGTGGGTATAAAGAAATCCTTTTTAATAAGACAATGAGTCATTAATACAGGAAATAATTTCTTACCTTATCCTTTATACAACTCTGGATTTTTCTAATTGAGGGTTTTTATAACATAGAAGACATTGTAACAGATTAAAAAGGAAACAAAGAGATTAGGAATAAGTTCTGAGGTTAAACAGCCTGAAAACAAAGCAGTTTTGGATTTGACACTTGGTTTGGTATATCACAAAATCCATCTCCTTCTATTCATCCTGCTTTAGAGAGACAACATTTGTAAAGGATCTTGGTTGGACTTTAAAGGCAGACTAGGGTTCAAATCCCAGTTCCACTAGCTCTATGGGTTTGGGCAAGGTATTTAACTGCTGTGAACTTCAATTTTCTTACACTACTCTGAGTTTCTCTGCAGGAAGATGGCATGCAATTATGTACGCGAAGTGTAGAGTACAGAACCTGTTATACAGCAAGTTCCTCTGAAAAACCAGCAAAGCAGAGAGGGCACTCACTGGGAAGCAACAGCCTTGACAATTACAGTAATTACCTAGTAACCATTTTTACCTTATACTGAAAGTGGATAAAATAGACAAAATAAAATAGTATTACAATTATAATTAATGTATCACTAATAACTGTAAGTTTAATTACTAATAAAATAACTACTTCTCATAGAGAAATTTTTTTATGTTAAGAATCTATTTTCCCCCCATGAGTTTTTTGAAGAGAAAAAGTAGCATTGTAAAGATTCGTCCATGATATTAAACTTTGAGGAACTGAAAATTCAATCATCCTTCTTTCTTTTTTCTACCCACTTGCATACTTCTATAAGGCTTGTGGTAAATAAAGATAACCCCCACTGACCTAACAAGAGTTCCCATGATCCTTATAATAGCTGCACCAGTTGAAATAATCTGATGCCAAATATTTCTAACTTAAAGCCTTAAATTTAAAAACTACCATGTTTCACTACTGGAGGTCCTTGCCTCTAAATCTGTCTGTCTAAATATTGAATGAAAGACTCTCTTCTCCCCCTCTCTAATGAAAGAAATATTTTCGTTAAGTGGAATGGAAGAACTTCTGGTTAAATCCTTGAAATGATACCAGATTTATATGTGGCCACTATTTTACCTGTGGTTGAAGTCAAATTATGTGACAAACCTGTCCTAGTATTCACTTAAGACTCGCTGCTAAAAATTATATTTTTAGATATGAACCATAAATTGGGCATGTTTGTAAACCAAATTATTTATCAATCTAAATAAATAAACAAATGTCCAGCTGGATTTGCTTTTTATTAAACACACAGTCCTTGCAATTATTTTTCAAATTTTATTTAAAGCTGATTTAATTTTCAAAAGTCCAGTAGCCTGATTATTAGATACATATCCTCTCTTTTAATTGAGTATAGTTGACACAAAATGTTACATTAGTTTTAGGTATACAACAACAAGTCTGTTATGCTATGTTCCCCAACTGGCATCCTACAATGCTATCACAACACCACTGACTATACTCCCTAAGCTGTAGCTTTTATCCCTGTGACTTTCATTCCATAACTGGAAGCCTGTAACTCCAACTCCCCTTCACCCATTTTGGGGCACCTATCTGTTGAAAAATGAAGACTTCTCATAAATGCTATGTCCTCTTTATAGTACATCAGTGGCAATTCACCACATCAAATCTCAAGCAGCCAATACCTGAACTCTGATCTGAGGGGTTCTCAGACATCCTTCGTCACTTTACAAACCTCACTATTTACAGACTACTCATATTGGGGTTGATGTTTTATAGGATATGCCTTTTCTAAGCTTTGCAAAGAAGTTTTCTTGATCAGGTCTGTTATCTTATCTAATGCCTTAATGTCCTGCAAGGCCACATTTATTGTCTATGGGGAGTGTGGAATGAAGGTATGAGAAAACACAGACCATTCAAATATAGGCAATTTGAAGTGCAAATACACTAGTTTTCTTACTACAGTAAAACCTTGCTAAGATCCTAATTGTAGGAACGTTTAGCCTAAGTTATGGACAAAACTAAGTTAAACCATATTTGAAGATATTTAGAGGTTTTTAAGTAAACATAGCAATTTACCCAATGAAAACATGAGATGGGTAGGAGGTATATTACATTTAGATAATCTTATTTATTAAAATGAGCTAATGGGATGGAAATTTAATCCCTACAATGGTATTTTTTTTTAAAAGATTTTATTTATTTATTTGAGACAGAGAGAATGAGAGACAGAGAGCACGAGAGGGAGGAGGGTCAGAGGGAGAAGCAGACTCCCTGCCGAGCAGGGAGCCCGATGCGGGACTCGATCCCGGGACTCCAGGATCATGACCTGAGCCGAAGGCAGTCGCCCAACCAACTGAGCCACCCAGGCGCCCAATCCCTACAATGGTATTAAGATCTGTACCAATCCAGGCAAAAGCAAACACGTCTTTCTACCTCCTTGTTCCTCTGCAATTTCACTTCAAAAGGTACAGAATAGGAAAGAACTCCTGAAGATTAAGTAGTTCTACACTGCAGTTTTCTATCTTTATGGTGACATACAGATTTTCCATAAAACAAAAATTATTAATTATAAAAGGTGAGTACAAACTGCATAAAATAGCTTCTACTGCTTAACTTTAAAAAGTCCAATCTAAAACTACCCCTTAGCTTCTTAGTATTTTCATTTGATTTACCACAAAGTAATTTAAAATTTTTTTTTCTCCACTATGACTCTCGGCACTTCATTCCTGTAAGGAAAATAAAAATATTGTCAGTGGTCATGGCAATCAAAATGTGTTCTAGTGCCATTCACTCTAGTGTAAAATTCATTAAGTTGACGTCCATTTTTTTTAACTATTTCCAAGGACAGACTAAAAGAAACTCCATATTAGCACTTTACCAAGAGATAGTCCCATGACACAGACACTGAAGACATTTTTATTTTGAAGCTCAATTAAATGAGATCATAAGAGACTCTTAAGGACAGAGAACAAACAGGGTTGATGGAGGGAGGTGAGGAGGGATTGGGCTAGATGGGCGGTGATGTGTATTAAAGAGGACACGTGTTGTGATGAGTACAGGGTGTTACCTATAAGAGATGAATCACTGAATTCTACTCCTGAAACCAAGACTGCACTATATGTTAACTAGAATTTAAGTAAAAATTTGGAGAGAAAAAGGGGGAAAAAGAATAAGTGCAATAAATACAAAGCAATTGCAAAAAAAAAAAAAAAATGACTATCAGCTCCTAATGGCTTTACATTTGCTGATATACTTTTATCCATCCACTGCAAAATTCTGAAAAGAAGGAGATGAGTGAATTCTTCCCTGTCTAAATACATACCTAATTTAAGTTTTATTCAAGTTAGAGGTTTTAATTTCAGAATAATTCTTCCCTCATTGCCACCACAATCTTCCCACCGCATTGCCTGTGTTTTCAAATTATCTGGTTTATCTTTCTTGTCACTGATAATATAGGTCACTTCCCTAAGTTTCTTGTTACTCTGCAAATCCCAACAAACCCTTATCCTCTTTGTTCATGCCTAAGCTGCCAAAGCCACACAGATCTTTTGCATTATTGCTCTAGCTTGAGGGTATGATGGAAGGTTCAAAATCAGTATCAAAGCACTTACTGTGTGCCCAAGTCTGTAAAATGTTTACATTTTATGGAAGTTTTTGAACGGGTTCAAGATCCTGATTTCTGTATATAATAATTTACCTCATTGAGTATTAAAAAGGAAAGCAGCATCAAGGCAATAAAGTATAAGTAACATTTATAATAGGTGTTTTGTAAACATTGTCTCATTTGAAACGCATAACAAAGAGCTGGCAGCATTATCTAAATTTAAGAGGAAACTGAAATCCATCCAACTAAGGGACGTTCTTAAATTTTTGCAGGGAAGAAATGAGTAAAACTGCTTTTGAACCCGTGACCAATTATCATGCTTATGCTCCTTCCACCATAGTCAATGCTTAAATAAATGAATCAAGGATTTAAGAGCAATATGGAAACAAAATAAAACAAACACACACTTAGTAGCACAGTAGGGCAGCATAACCACACGTGGCACCCGCCCTTATCAGTTACCTATCTGAAATGGAAACAAAATTGTTTTCACAAGGGAAGTTCTAAGCTCCTAAGGCGAGCAGACTACGGTGCTGCAGGTATGGCTAAATGGCTGGTCTTTGGTTTCTGTGCCTTTCAATACGGAAGCCATTGAGAGTTTATGTGCATTCCCAGAGAATAAACATGATAGTTCATCTGTCCCTATTACCATACAGTAATATACATCTTCAAAATAAAGGAGCTATGAAATTTCCTATTTCAAAGGTGATTTCTGAACTTTTTCTGCCGTGGCCTGCAAAGATCTCTCACTAGTGTATAAACCAAAGTCAATTCAGATGCTCTAAAGGCAAAAAGCTTTTGGAAAGCAAAAGTCAAATTTATTACCAAATATTTTCTCCTGATGGTTACATTATAATAATTCCAACAAATATGCATTGGCTACCTTCTACATAGTAGGTATTGTCTGAGA